AACAGATTACAACATTACATAACGCCACCTATCACAACAACATTAGAACAACACAAAAAAGAAGCAATTCCACTGCAACCGGCAGGATCAGATTTGCCTATATTAAAGGACAGAGTTTAAAACCCTCTGTGGTCTCAGAACGAGCACGAATGCCTCCGTAGCCAATCACGGCTGGCAAGTGGGCGGTCCCGAAGAAATTTCCAACCACACCCATCTTTGAGGATTTAAACGCCCTTTTTGGGCTTTTCCCAGGTGAGTTTTCTTTATAACTTCACTTCAGATGTTTTCCAATAGGGCCTGCGTATACTTTAGTGCCATTAGTATTGAAAGAAGCAGACCCTGCTGGGACTGTTGCTTTAAATGTATCCAGTGGTCCCTGCGAACTTCAATTGACGTATTTTTGTGCATTCTCTTTTGAAATTATTTCATTCAGCACAACAGTTCATTAGCAGATGCAAACAATAACATAACAGCTTTCAACGACTTTGATGGTAAACTGCAACTTTCTGTAAAATTCAAGAAGTAGAGTTCAAAAGAACTCTCTCATCACTTGTAAGGAATTTCCTACCGAGTATCTTTAAAACACGATTTGCTCCTTCTCTTTTTCGATTGCAACGGTTCACAATTGCTGTACTGAATTTTATCTCATCATTACTGCGTTGCTCATATACCTACTCTTTCGCCTTGATCAGTGGATGCATTGTCATAATTAGAATCCATTAATTATAAGGACTCCACAATTTCACTCGTCCGTTTAATCTCCATCCGAAAATTGTTAAGTAATATCTTATTAGAATGAGATATAGTTTACATTAGGATGAAAACTGACACAGAGTGTGTCATTGTTATTGTTAGCTTACATACTTGGCATTTTTTTCTTCATCAGTCAGCAACTGAATAATGGATAATCCCTTCCAGTCCGAGCATCCCTAGTTTGATTGCTTATATTGTCGCTTTCATTGTTTCAGCAGTTTCTTACTCAACGTCGTGCATTTTTTCTCGTTCGTTACAACACGTATCATACATAAAGGGAAAAGGATAAAGCATTTGCCGTTGATCAATCCCTTTTTGGGATGCGGCACGCATTCTACTTCCATTTGTACATTCGTAGTGGCGTTTGAATGCGATGTGGCCTATACAATGACTTGCGGGGGCCAGCCGATGTACAAGTCAGTGTTTTTATCCTCCCAGACAAGTCTGGTACCAATTAACCGACCCCGGAGGGATGGAAGGCTTGGTTGGCCCGGGCGACTCACGACCCAGGATTTGATCCCCGGCTGCTACGCGTTCAAAGCACCGCCGGACATCAGTCACGAATGCTGGCGACGGGAATGCTTCCACTTGGTTCTCGGAGTGCCGTCACTAGAAACTCTTTCTGGCCTTTTGACTTATTGCATTGACATCTCACACTTCTACTGCATCCTTCTTTGGATAGTAGACTTTGGATTGGACGACTAATTGTCTCTGCCATCCAAAATCACACGCTTCAACCCGATTCTTTTATTGCATTGCCTGAGGTCAAAATTCTTTCCATGCCCCACCTTTGGCTCCGCGCCACTTACCTTCGAATGTTTACAGTATGTGTTTTTTGTAAGTTTGTTTCCTCTTACGGAAACTGAATCTTTGTGCGTGAAACTTTGTATGTTGTCTCTAGTGATCAC